TTTCCCTCCAGTGCATCTTTCCCATCACCACGAGAGTAATTTCTGGGAAGCAGGTCGGAATTTGCCAATTCCTGCTCCATGCCCTTCAATGGCCCCCATGTCTACAGGACTCCTTGCAGCCACCAGCTCGTCTCCTGCCTGTTTCCAGAACCATGCCTTCTCTCACATTTCTTACTCTACTTCCATCTGACAACGTACAGGTCCTCGTATACATGTGGCCCTTGTTAGGGAAGGTGAGCTAGGCTGGTCTAGACTTTAGGGTACCACAGGGCAGGTTGGAAGCAGGTGAGTGTCTCAGTCATAGCACAAATCATACACTGAGTCATGCCCTAAAGAGCCCAGAAGGTCAAGATCAGGGAAGTACAAGAGAGTCTTTAACAAGTTCATGGGAAAATGTATATTAGGAAAAAACTGTATGAATTTCAGAATGTTTTTTTGAACCACAGTAAACTTGTTTTTTAATTTTATTTTTCCATGAGCTTCTAAAAGTCTCTTCATATAGCTGAAACATATCACTGGGGCTAGAGTTCTAGAGACCAGAAGAGGAGGGACCAGCAGTTAGCGTAATGGCTATGTTGCTGGACTCCCATGTAGTTGACCGTGGTTCCAGTCCTGGATCCTGGTGGCTTAAACTCATCCTAGGCGTGTGTGCATGCGTGCCCAAGATCCCAAGAGGAGAATGGAGGAGAAGGGACAGCATGGCCATCCCCCCTGGGGGGTGATTTCTTGGTTTCTGTCTCTCTGTCTGTCTCTGTCTGTCTGGCGAGTGCATGCACCCTATAGCAAAAACCTCTCAAAAAAAAAAAAAAAATTGGGAGTAGAGGCCCGAGCCAAAGGCTCAGAGATCTAGGGAGAGATCAGCACGGAGAGAGAGAGGAACAGTTTGACAGCCAGGAGAGCTGACGAGTCCTGGGCTTCAGAGCCAGGCTGGGGCTGTGCAACGTGGAGAGCCAGGTTCTGTGCAGGCCCTGAGGGCCTCCCGTTTTGGACTCTGCCTTCGCATGGCTCTCCCCCTTGCCCTGTCTATAATTTTGCTGTTCCTAATGGAGAAGTGATGTGAGTGAAAACTTAAATTTGCAAATCACATCTCAGCAAATCTTTCTTGATTTTCTCGGACAAATTCTCACCCCTCTGTACTGTTTCCATCTCTTTTACTCAAAGTTGTCCTTCCTAGTATCTGTGTTGGGGTTGGTTTCAGGCCTTCATGGACACCCACTCTGCAAATACTCAAATCCCTTATTTAAAAAGGTATAGTATTGGGACCAGCAGGTGGCATGGTGGTTAAGGTGCTGAACTCCTACATGGCCAACCGTGGTTCGATTCCTGGACCTAGCAGCTTGCTTCTCACTTTCTCTAGTGAGCGCATGTGCCCTATAGCAAATTTAAAAAATAACAATAACAAATAAAATAAAACTAATTTTTTTGAATAAGGCATGGTATTTACATATAACTTATACCCATCCTTCAATATGCTTTAAATCATGTCTCGATTACCTATAATACCTAATACAATGTAAATACTATGTAATTAGTTTGTAATACTATAGATTCAATAAATTCAAAGTTTTTTATTTTTCTTTCTGGCATTTATTTTTCCTGAATATTTTTGATCCCTGGTTAGTTGAATCAGCTGATGTGGAACCTGCAGATATGAAGGGCCCACCATCCTTCCTATATGACATGCCCCTATGTCATTGCCATTATATTCCCCTGCCTGTGTCTGTCTTAGTGGCATGAATGTCTCTGAACAGTGGGAATCTCGATTGACTTATTGTCCCCAGCCCCCAGCAGCGCGCCTGGCACATCGTGGGTCAATTACATATAGTCCTTAAATTGAGCTGCCACAGAATGGAGTGGAGTCTGCCTTGGTTTTCCCATCCATTTAGTGGGGGATAACCTCCTGGTCACAGAAAAAACAGTGTGTGTGAAGCACCCAGAAAAGTGCCTTGTGCTTTAGACCTACACCCCCAAAGTGTAGGCTCACAGTAAATTATGGTTAATGTTATATTGTTACTCTGAAAATAATCTCATTAGGTTCCAGTGGTCTTTCGGTGTCAGATTTGGTCTCCTGTGCAATTCCAGCTGTTTCCTTTACCTGGAGTCATCGCTACATTCCTCCTCATCTCCTCAGCCTCCAGGAGTCCTGATTTCAGTCTGGGCTTTACCATGGACTGGCTGTGTGTCTCGGGACAAGTCACTTACCTTCTCTGAACTTATTTCCTCACTTGGTGGTGAAGGTGTCAGCCCTGTCCCTTTCTGCTCACGGTCCTCTGGTTTGTACCCTGACGTGTCCTCTCTAAGCTGTGGTCCAAGGAGGCTGAGAGGCTGGGCCTCAGCGATGAGGCTCCTCAGACATTTGTATGTCTCTTGCCTGAAGCCAGCTGTGGAGAAGAAAGGCCCATCGAGCTGCCAGCTGTGCTCTTTAATATTTTGCCCTTTTAGGTGATTTCAGAAGGTCCTCATTTTCCTCACAGAGTCTGGATTCACGTTAGGGGCACTTTGACTCAAGAGGCCTTGGTTTCTTTCTTACCTGGGCATTGGGCCCGGGTCCCTACAGAAAGGCCAGGCTGGTCCTGGTCAATGGCAGGTTTGACAAACAAAGCCAAGAAGCCATATTTGTGCTCCACCACACACACCGGGCCTCTCAGCACCTCAGGGCTCCTTCCTGCCCCTTCTGCTGGGAGTTACGTCACACTGACGAGGGGGCTGCTGACAAGGGGCAGTGGCCGTGGTGGCTCTCGGGGACTGGGTCTCAAGAGTGGACAAATAAGGGCTGGGCCTGTGGTCTAGTAGTTAAGGGAGCTAGATGTCACTTGGGTGACAGTGGTTTGAGTCCTGGCCCTGATGCCTTGAAAAACATGCCAGCATGTGTGTGTGCATGTCCTGAATCCTGACAGGGTGGACAAATGGGGAAGGAATTGCAATGTGTCCGGGCCCCAGTGGGGGTGCTTTCTTCATTTCCCTCTGTCACTCTCTGGTGAGCTCATGGGCCCTCTGGCAATTAATAAAAAAGTTGTAGGAAGCTACTTGCCTCTTGATAAGTGATTTAAATGTTTCGTGTAAGTGAGAGCCTGTCAGTGCCTGTATGTCCCGGCTGGTGTGTTTTTTAACCAGCTTGTGGAAAGCTGAACGAGGACTTTGTACTCCAGACAATGGCCCCAAGGGCCTGCTCCTTGAGTCCAAGGGTTGCCATGACTACCACCCTCCAGGAGTGAAGAGTCCGACAGTGCTTTCTCTAGGCCAGTGGTACAAATGACCACATTCCCAACAGCTCACCCTGCCCCCACCAGAAAGTATTTTCATAGTCGTTCCTCCCGGAGAGGGCACACGAAAAAAGGCTGACAGGGTGACGTCAGCACTGTTAGTGGATTGTTGGTATAACCCGACTGTCTGGCCCTCCTCTTCCCGCAAACCCAAGTCTGACCTCATGCATCACTTATGCCACACATCAGCCTTCTGGGCTCTCAAAGCAGGAAGAAAGAAAGAATATGACCAAAGATGCTTTTAAAACTCTCTTATTTTTAGTATCATGAGTCAAAGAATATTACACTGCCTTAGCCTCTCTGCTCCCCAGGGCCAGATGCTCCCTGATGGTAAGAGAGGCACTTAGATGGAGGTGTTATCTCCTCCTGGCCATTCAGGTATGGCTTATGGTTCGCTATGGCATAGAAGGTGGGAGGCCTACAGGAGAAGGGTGGAAGCAGTATGAATTAACTTCCCTAGAGGAAATGGAAATGAACAAGGCCAGGATCTGATTAATTAAGGGTCATTCATGGAGCTGTCTGCCTATCCATCCATCTATCCATCCATCCATCA